GTTTCACAGGGATATTGTGTGTAGAGAGCCATACCAGTTGTCCTCGTCGGAGGCGGGGAACAGGTCGACGGAGCCTAGTGGCAGTTCTACATTGTCTTTGAGCGATGCGGGATAAAGTAAACTTGGCATTTTTCCATGGTTTCTGGAGATTGGTGATATATTGTTTAACAGAAGGGACCTGGTTATCTGCGGGTGAGTCTGAAATGAGGGTTGGTTAATAGCCCAGGGCACGTTGGAACGGTGATAATTCGGTAGCGGAAATAGTTAGTGAATTATGAGACCCAATTATCTTGAGTGGAAGAAATGTAGGCCCAAAGGTAGGCTTATAATTCTTGATTGATACGTCCCGTCTGACCATTTGCTTGAGGGTGGAATGTCGAGGTCAAGGAGACTGAAGTTCCGAGGGACTTACAGAAGGCTTTCCAAAAAAGAGAGATCAAAGGAACCACAACTGATTTAATGAGCCATTTGCAGTTTCACTGTACTGGCCGTGTGTAAAACATGCATGGCTCAGTCTTTGAGACTCTTGCGGGTGGGCACGTCAGAGACAGAGTGGGGACAGGGGCCTCCTGGTGGAGCCTAGTACCTAGTGGTGGGAGAAACCTATGTGCCCACAGGCAGGGGCCCTCCAGGGTGGGCTGGTGTCACCCCAGGGCCTGGAGGCACCTGTCTGACTTTTCCGGCCTGCTCTTCCATCTTGGGATTGGGCCATGACCCCCGTGACACCTTTGGGAGGCAGGCCAGCCTTTCTCAGGAGTCACCCAGCAACTGCCCTGCATGGCCTGTCCGCAGGACTGCAGGGGAGCCCTTCCAAGGCCACCATGGTGTTGGTGTCTCCACACGTTTGCAAATAGACCACCCTCCGAAGGGCTCCCTCGTAGGCTTGTGGATATGCCGCCCCAGTGTCACCTGCGGGCAGGCCACCGTAGCTTTCGTACTTGCCGCCTACAAGGAGACGAACCCAGCTTGTGGATCTAGAGCTGGGAGGATTCGTCCCCTTCAGAGGTTTCTTGTAGAACTGGGCGGCTGCCTGCCCTGTGACACCTCAAGGAGGCTCCCCTGCAGGCCACCCTGGTGTCGGCATACAAGCTATGCCTTAAAGGGTAGGCTCAAACAAACAGGAGCCTAGGCTAGGCTTTCAAACACTTTGAAAGTAAGGATGTTAAACTGATGTCCTAATGGCTGTGTTGTGGAATTTTAGCAAAGAAGAGCCAGGAGAGGTGTTCTCATTCACTCAGTAAGGTCTTTATTCATGTTGCAATATGGGAAAAAGCAATCACCCATCCTGTGCAGAGAAGTGAAAGCTGATTCAAAAGCAAGCAGGGAGAGCCCCTTGTTTTATATCTTTTTTAAGCTGATGCAACACTTCAAGGACAGGCGAAGCAGTAATTTTCCATTCCTCATAGGTTTCTGCTTAAAGCAAAGAAGAGCAGTTATACAAACAGTTTCTCATACTCCCTTCTTCAAGCAGCAGAGATAAACATTATTAAAACATCCCATGCCCTTGACGAGCTGGGTGCTATCATACTTTGTTCTAAGTATCCAGCTGCTTCTGCAGCACAGCTCTGCCCATAAACAACATTTTTAGGATAAAACACTTTTTCTAAGTAACTTTCCATTACATGCTGTCTTTGAGTCTTACAGTCATCTCATGCTGAAGTGGGACGTAGCACCAGTGGACAGAGATGGAAGAGCAGAAGGAATGCGTGGTTTTGCTGCTGGTGTTGACCAGCAAAACCGCACTCTTCCACCTGCTGCCGTCATTGCTCTGTGAGGAGACTCCATTCCCTTCTGCTCTCCCACCTCCGCCTGGTGGGCAGGCATCCTGGTCCTTCACTTCCAAGGATGGTGTTTGTAAGTCAGGGTAAGTCAGAGGTCACTCAGAGTGTCCAAGATGGTGCAGACCTCCACACAGGCCAGTCACAGGACCTCCTGCAGCTGTTCCCACTGCTGAGGTCTGGCAGAAGAGATACTATGATCAGAGGAATCGGGGGCCCTGTTGGGTTGTGCGATTGGGTTTGGGTGTTCTGCCACAGGTGAAGGAATGTGCTGTGTGCCAGGCTAGCTCTCTCCTGGGAGCGTTCCCTCACGCTGTTATAGAGACAGTCCAAGGTAATGCGCGAACCAGACACAGGTGATCCACTGGAGAGCATGTTATACAGTGGTGTGAAAAAGTGTTTGCCCCCTTCCTGATTTCTTATTTTTTTGCATGTTTGTCACACTGAAATGTTTCAGATCATCAAACAAATTGAAATATTAGACAAAGATAACACAAGTAAACACAAAATGCAGTTTTT